TATTATAATTAGTAATTATCCAAATGAATAATTATAGAGTATCTCAATGCTTGTTTTTAAGATTATCTTGATATTATTACCAATAAAATTTAGACTCAACATAATTTCACAGATTCTTGCAAACTTCACATAATTTTTTTGTCTCTGATACAAATGCTTTTTCTACCAACATCCCAGTAGGAAAAATATATTTTTCATATTAAAGCATATTTTGGACATTAGAGAATATCTAGCCTATTTTTCATATTTTAGAAAATAATCAATTTTTGTTCATAAAAAATCATATATTTTGATAACTTCTCGAGTTGTAATTTTTTCTAGCAAAACAAATATTTTGATAAAAATAATAAAAATTTAAAATCAATAAATTCTACTTTTATTCAGATCCACCTACTTTTTTGTCTTCAAATTGGTAATGTTGGTTATTCTGTTACTCTCAATTCGTGATTGTACCATAGATTATAGTATTCAATCATTGATTATGAGATGAGAATGATTTTTAATAATGACCTGTACCTATAATAATTTACCTGTTACCAGAGGAATGGTGCATAACAGTATTTATTGTTTTCATTGAACTATTTTAGGAAAAAGACATATTATCTGTATATTTACAAGCTTAAGGAATACTAAGAGAATACTTTGAGGTTTTTTTAGAACCTAAAAATCAGCTCTTTAGTTATGAGTGACATTTTTGTATTGTAAAATATTGTTGTTTGTAAATGTTTTTGTTTTTATGTTTAATTTGTGCTCTCTGTTTTGTTTATATTTAAACTGTGTTCATATTTTTTTTAGTTATAACTCAATAATTTGTATGGTGCTCAATTGATTTATTAACTAATTATGGAGCACAATGTGTAAAAAAAAAAAAAATTTAATAAATTAATAAAATTGTTAGAATTGTTTAATAAATATTTCAATTACAATAATAATTATCTTATACAATTTGGATTTCAATAGAACAAAGTTCTATAGAAACATCTATGGGTGTGCCGGGTATACTTAAGCACATCCTGAACAACTGTAAAAATGCTTTTCTTGTCTGGACAAATATTATTACAGGATACTAAGTATTTATTATTAGTAATTATTTTATAGTTATGTATTAGTTTATATTTATTGGTTTTATATATTATATTTATATATTTATTACCTATTTAGATTTTTCAATGTTATAGGGTTATTCATGCATTGAATTTTCTTTTTTATACAATTTAAGTATAAACGGGTTTGAATTAGATGATAGAACTCTGTATCTCCTCTACAAGCTTTGGTTTTTGGAACCATAATTTCAAATTCATATTGTTATATCCATTTATAATTATGTAAAATGAAATGAAATAAATTGTATTATTTTTTTTTTATTATTATTATAAATACAACTATACAAGGCATCGATTGGATTGGTCATCATTGACCAAAATATTATAATTGTATTATTATTATAAAATATTTAATTAAACAAATACCTAGTAAAATTATGAAAAAAAAAAATAATTTACACAATGATATATGATATTTTTTTTTCGTTGATATTTCATTTAAACAATAAACAATTGCAAAAAATTATGTGCCCTAAAAACTTCTTCCAAAATACTAATAATTTAAAATCACAAACTCATTTAGCAAATAGTTAGTACAAAAATATTATTTTAAGAAAATTGTACTTATACTTACATAGTATAAATATAAATATTATCAATTTGTTCTATAACATATATAAAAAAATAAAGTCACAAGTAATTTAGTAATACAAAAAAGTAACTTAAGTTATGTAAGTAACAATTAGGTAACATACTTACAATAAAATGTAATTAAATTACATTAAAAACAGTTTTATTATAGTAATTTCTACCCTTAGTTTGGTTACTTCCCATCTCTGGGTACCTACAATACTTCAGAGGCTCAGACCAAATTACCAGATTTTTTTTAAAGTTATATTTATTCTTTATTGTTTAAAAACATGACTTAATACAAGTTATTGTTAGATTCAGAGTGAAGCTCATGTAATTAATTAATTCATACAATGATTATGTGATGTGCTTTTATGTTCTGAGCTAAGTGATAAATGTATTGAATTTACCATAAGTTTTATGTTTGTGTGTGTACTCGTTGTATACAAGAAAAAATAGCTTCCATATTCTATTTTTAGGGTAATTTCTATTTTCAAATTGTATCTAGTTAGTACTTCTGACAGGCCAATATAGAAAATTCAGTATTTTTCAAAATAATAGGGAAATATAAGGAAAACGGAAATTTATTTACAAAGCCGGAATTATCAACAAAATTAATTTAATTTTTTTAATTTAATTAATTCAAATATGTAATTAATTCTGTAATGGATTCTTTTTAGGTAATTGACATAATATGAACACTGTTGATGGGAGTTATTTTGTACAATTTTCATCACAGATATTATTAGTTATTATTCACAGTATTCACAGTATGGTAGACTATTAACTTATAAGTATCCCCTAATCATTGTTAGGAATAATTTATTGTATTAAAAATTTATAAAAACTAAAGAAAAAAAGTTATAATTAACTATTTATCATGTCGTAGTACCTCTGCTGAGAGGCATCTACATTCAGTCTTATCTGCTTTTTTATTTTTATTTATTTTAACCTATAAACCATGAATTGTTCTTATTGTTCTTCTTTTTTTGTAACAGATTGAATAAAAACATTTGAATCAAAAAAAAAAAAAAAAATGAACTATTTTAATTATAAATAATCAAGTTTGAAATTACTTAGTTTACTTATTTGATATATTTATATACAATTAGACTTTATATTGATATACACTAGCACAACTTTTTGTGTTCAAGGGAATTTTCTGTGCACAGCGTTTAATAGAACGAAAAATACACATTTTAGAAGTTAGTACCAAATATTTTTTTTTTATTAACATACATTTACATATTTTCATCATAATATGCATTACTTGATAAAAAATATTAATTATTACTTATAAAGTTATAACATATTATGATACGTACAGGTTGATAAAATTTAAAAATTCAAGAGGGGAAATCTTTAATGATTTTCCATGTCACCTCTGGTTTGCATATTGTATTGAAACTAGCTTGTTGAATGTAGATTGCCCAAATTTGACAATAGACTTTCATCAAGAAATTATACCTACTTCACTCGTACAGGTACCAAATTTTATAAAAATAAAAACTGTTATTGTGTATAATTTTTTTTTTTTTTTTGTGATTCCTATAATAATATGTATAACTGTAAATTTATAGTGTTAACTTTGATTCTAAAACTGAAATAAAGAAATTAAAGGTAAATGTATTAATGATTTTTAAATGAAGTAGCTTTGGACAATAGACAATAGACATAGATTTGTTTGTTAGGAATGTTAAAAAACTGAAAACTAATAATAACTAATAAGTTTCATATTATTAAGTAGGTATATCGCTACCCTCGTGCTAATACCTCTTATCTCACTTTTTTGAAATTGTTCAGGAGAGACAATAAACTAAATAAATCACTTTTCAATCAGAAAAATTTAATTTTTAGACTAACTTTATTTAATAACTTTGATTAACTAGTAAATTGTATATTAATAGAAATCAATTTATGAAAAATAAAAACAAAATAATAGAAACCAACTTGTTAAAAATAAAAATAAACAATATTTAAAACTTAAAAAGAATAAATTTATAACTTATTTATGTTAGGAACATTAATTGTCATTTTAATTAAAGGAAATATTAAAAAAAAAAGTTTGAAAATTTTTAAACTTTTGTAGTTTTGCGAGCCTTTAACTGTTGTTCGTGTCGTATTATCAATATCAACAGTTTTATTAGATAAATCATCAACACCAGCTGCAATTATAGGGTCTAAAAAATAATTTAAAATAAATATAACACCACACATCATAAAAATATAAATATTATAGTTAAAAATAATACCTGAGATAGTCATCATAATATCAGATTCTATATTATCAATATAATATAATATAATAGTTAAATATAGTATAATAATTTAAAATAAATATAACACCACACATCATAAAAATATAAATATTATAGTTAAAAATATTACCTGAGGTAGTCATCAGGTACGAAGGTATATTATTATTGTATTGTTGATTTACCAAATTCAACATATATTTACATCGGTTCGATTGACAATTAGACCTTTTTTTAGGCATGGTGTACGACAGCTATAATATTATAATAGGAATAATACAGTATTAATCAAACAAGTAAAATATTGTACATTTTTATCAATTAATATTATATTACATTATGTTCCTGTTCTATAATTATTAACCTAATACTTAACAATAATAAATTACTATACTACCTTGCAACAAAATAGTTATACATACCTATTTGATCGAAGTTCTTAATAATAATATTTGAAGAAACGAACAAAAGCTCCGTACACCAACCAAACCAACGTCAAACACAATTTAAAAAAACACGAGATAAGTGTTATTCTACACAGAATTAAATACTTGTTATCACTACAAATGAGTTTTTGGAGGGAAAAACACAATAAAATTTTTCAGTCATGAATACAAATTACGCGCCATGATAACAGCTATACAGTGGTACCAATATCTCATTTTCGAAAAAACCTTGAGATAAGAGGTATTAGCACGAGGGTCGCGATATTTTTTTCTAATTTTTAGGTGGACATCCTTTTCTTTGTAATGTCAATGAAAAAAGAATTAAAAATGATTTATACATATTTACATAATATTTAAATAAAAACTACAAGTATTAATAATAATTATGTAAATCAAATTTGTAGGACTTTTCATACTACCCTAGGTTCTTCTGTATTTATATTATTTGAATTATTCATTTCTTGTTGAGGTTTATCATCTTGTAAAAATCTCTTGAGTATAAAATAATAAAAAAAAGCCTATGGAAAATTTACTTTTATTTATAATTAGTAGATTGGTTAACATGGCTTAAAAAAATTACTTAAGCAGATGATGATGTTTTTGAAGTATTTTCAGTATTATTTGTCTTATGAATTTTGATAAGCTGAAAAGCTGGTACTAGGATTTGGAGCAGAAGTATGATTTGAATTTTTTTTAATATCTTGTCGTCCGTAATCTCCGAGAAAACTCACAGTCAAAGGACAATTTGGATAACCAACTTCAAATTGTTTGGCATTTATCTAACAAAATAGAGTATTTGTTTGAATACAGAAAATTATTTGTACAAAGTTTACCTTAAGAAGACGCTTTACAACCATTTCTTTTCCCGTCTTACAAGTGCGTAACATAAAAAATTTATGAGAATTGTATCAGATAACGTTTAGCTCCGTTAGTTTAAAAAATGGAGTGAATAGACCTATTATGAAAAAAACATTATCAGTGTTTGTATATGGGTTTTTATGATAGTTTTTTTTTTTTAGCAAGTTATGCGTATATAATAATAAATTGCTTAAACTTAAATTACTTAAATTGCTCACTAACAAACTTACTTAAAAACTGAATAATCGTAAAAAACCCACATACAAACACAGATGTTCTTTTCATAATAGGTCGATTCACTTTAATTTTTAAACTAACTGAGCTAAACGTGGTCAACTGAACGTAAATTTGCTATGTTACGCACTTGTAAGATGGAGACAACAAATATGTGTGAAGCGTCCTCTTAATTTAATTTAAAATGACTTACAGCAGAAGTCTTAAATTTGAACCCAACTAGAGCAACACTTTTGTCTTCCAGAACCACAACATTTATTACGTGTCCATACTATAATGTTGTATAGTGTGAGTATTAGACAAATATTTAAAATATAATTTTGATAAATTACCTTAGAAAACAGTGATATTAAATTATCTTTATTATACACTCCATTTGCCATCCACTTTACTTTTAATTTGAATGAACCGATCCTTTTTTTATTAATTGCTTGCTCCCTAAGCAGCTTTTCCATGCGGGCTATTACAGTTGCAAGTAGAGATAAATATTCTTTTTTTAAATGCTTCAGTTCTCTCTATAGAAAAAAAAATGAACTTAAAAACAAAAATTTAACTAAATAAAGAATTACCTTGGACTTGCGTTCCACTTTATCTTGTTTCTTTCTATTCAAATCACATCCTTTTTCTAGCATTACTTCAGCAGTTTTAGCCTTTACTTTCTTGAGTTTATCTAACTAAAAACAAGTAAAAACCTATACAATTAAAAATATATTTACAATACAAAAGCAACAAATCTTACTCGAGTTCCTATGTCTTCAAGAATAGTTAATAGTTTATATAATGTCGAGAACGATCGAGCTGCTTTAGAATTATAGGGATTTTCATCTGGATGACATTGTAGACCATTTTTCCGATATGTCGTTTTAATCTGATTGAAATGGTAAAATATATTAATATATATATACATAAATATACATATTCTACATAAATAATTAGAAATTGAATTACATCCTTCTCAGTAGCCGACTGTTGGACCTCAGCTATTCCACGAAGATCTAAATCTTCACAATCTGAATCCATCTTAAAAAACGATGATTTATAATATGAATTCTACAACTATAACAAGATACTTTAGATACTATAATAGGAATATTATATTTTATGTTATGAGCCGTGTTACAAACGTACAAGTTGTTACTTACAATGTATCATGAAGAGTGGGTACGTAGTACTTAACACGTACCTACTAATTGATAAATTATAATTATGAAAAAGTACCAAAACTAAAAGCCAAAAACAAAATGACGTATTTTTCGATTTCGTTATCAGTTGATGTATTAGGCGTGTTTCCGAGAAGGCAGCGAGAGCCTACAACGCGATTTATACCATTTAATAACAACACTGACGGTTATGAAACATTTGCGATTCTCGATTTTTGTATATTATATGTTCCTTGATACACAAACGCTCTCGTTTAAGTCTCCTGTCGACGACGACTGCCATGTTGCCATTAGCTCGTCCCGCGGGCCGCGACGTACACGACGCCACAGTCCCGTCGTGAGGAATTCCATAGATATTAAACGTCATATGGGCCATTGAATAATAAGTGATAACGATTTCTCTCTCTCTCAAAAGTGCCCTTACAAGACCGGGTTAACGATTTATCTCTCTCACATGGGTGCCGTCTTCTATGCGAGAGACCGACAGAGAAACGTTATTTCCGTCTCCGTTATGTTGGCTTCAAATATTATGTTTGCACCACGACGAAATAAATTTATCTTCCACACTATCCACAGTGTGCATCATAGAATATGGATAATGATGTACCGGATCCTGCCCGCGATAATAATTTTATAAAATTAGAAATGTCTATAGGTATAGATAAAAATTATAATTTTAAGTAAAATAATAATAATATATATTTTTATCAAAATGATCGGTATATTATATACGACAAATACTAAAGATACTGCTCGCGATATAAATTTCGAATGTGGCCCACATATTGAAAATGGTTGGGCACCACAGACAGAAATAATATATATAGTCCGTGAGATAGACAGTGCTGCATCCATATGTTTAGTATCCATGCCGACTGCTGAGTTCGAACTTACTGGCCGGTGGTCGGTCCCTTCTATTAGTTCTATTCCGAGTTAACCCCGTTCGACTGTGTTGTAATTTATTCAGCTCGCGGTCTATTGAATATTGTCATCAGTCCGACCTCCGACAGTTGACTTTCACAGAATATAATATTAACATTAAATATCTGTTCGACATAACAATGAGTGTGGAAAATGTACAGATAATTTTTGATGAGCCTACAGCAGTATTTACGCCCGGCCAAACCATTTCCGGACGAGTTTCAATTGTGATTTCTAATAGTTCACTGAATATCAAATGTAAGTGGTTTATGGGGTAGGTAGTCTGTATAATATGTTATGCGTACCTATAGTGACCATTACTGGATGTTTTTATAGATATACAATTGAAATTCCTGGGAGAAGCTAGTGTCAGTTGGTATGAAAGAAGGAATGAAGTCAGATATCGTTCTAGACGTGGACGTCGTTCATTTAATCGTTATTTTACTTCAAAAGAAGATTATTTTAAAAATATTAAAAATAAATTTTTTCTGGTAGGTGCAGAAAAAGGTGAGCATGTAGAAATGAATAATAATAATAATAATAATAGTTATACCTACTGATATATATATTAAAGTAAACACAGTTAAAAATTCACGGGGGTGGAGGCGGTTGCCCTTGTTTGACACCTATACCAAATAAAAGGTTCACCACCCTTTGGTATAGGTACTAAAATAATATGTTATATACAAATATAAAATAATAAGAATTTTTAACTGCGTTTACTTTAATATCAATATGATTACATGCCAGTAATATGTTCATAGTACAATTAATATTTTCTTTCTGTGTAATCACTAATCAAGGAGTTATGTTGAGATTTGTTAAAAAAATTTAAAACAAAGTATTTAAGACACTTTTTACATTATATTTAGAATAGTTCCAAGCTCCCAAAATGCTATAATTTATAAAATAAAATAAAAACGTTTTTGCACGCCTTAATCCTAATGCTTAATCTTAGTGACGCGTGTCATAGTTTTGCCACACATCACCTATACTTACTTCAGCATCGATAATGCAATTTACTATAAGTTAAGTTAGGATTTTTCATCTTATATTTATTTATTTATAGGTACTTAATCATTATTTTTAAGGTAAATCTCAATTAGAAGTTGGTGAATATGTCTATCCATTTAATTTTTCTTTACCACATGAGATACCATCAACATTTAAAGGTGAGTATGGAGAAGTATTTTATACAGCAAAAGTCAAAATTAATGTACCTTTGAGAATGATTATAGAGAAAAAAACAACGTTTGAGGTTATTTCTCCTGTACATTTAAATGAAGAACCATCGTTAGCTGTAAGTATAATATTTTTATTCTGAAATTGTAAATGATAGTAATTAAATAATTTCCTAACAATATATGTATGTGTTATCTGTCATATCTGGGGCTTACTTGTAATGCATAATGTAATTTTTATTTGACGATCAAGTACCTAAACATGAAACTGCTATCTCCCAAAATGCAGTCTACCACCATTTAATGTATTCCCTAATTATAAATATGAGAATAGTTTAACATGGTCTACTATAGCTGGGATATCTGTATCATTATGATTGGACTACTAGGTCCAGACGTACTATTACGTTCCTATATATTATAATATTATCATATGCCTGTAACAGTTCAATTTTGGAAAAACCTGGCTCGCATCATTTTAAACATAAAATTTAAATTAAAAAAAAATATATAATTATTAAGTATATTTTATTTTATGTTAGTATAGACAGGTTGGTATGGAGAATAATTAGTGTAGCAGTGAAATGTGAACATATTATTATGTCTTTATATTAAATTGGTATTATTTTTGATTCGTTCTTAATACATTCAATGTTTTGTGGATGATCTATAACAGTGTTTCTCAACAAAGTGTTTCTCAAATAATTTTAAATAATGAGTCCCCAAAAAGTTAAAATGTTAATATGTTATAAAATAATGAAATGTGATTAATATTATGACTTGTTATTTATATAATTAATAATATGAGTAAAAATAACTAAACGAAGACTAATTGTTTCTTTTAATGATGGTAGTTGATAAAAACTAAGGTTTAGTGAGAGGGTGTGTAGTCCCCATAGACCTTATAGGTACTAATAGACTGGCCAATAGACATACAGCAGTGATGTACAGTATAATCACATCAGTGTTATCATTTTCCGTTAAGTACAATGGACAATAATACCATACTATTATCATTTATCTTTTTTTTTTATGGGAATTTTGAATTGGGATGGGCTTTCGTGGCACTGTAACTACTAACTACTAATAACTATTAACTAATTATATATTATATATTTATATAATAAACTCAAGGACTAATAATACTTTTTTGTCACCTAATGTATTACGAATAAGTTTAATCATATTTTAATCATAAAATAAAAACACAGGTTCTTTTGATAAAGGGTGCGGAAAGAAAAATTATACTTTGAATTTTTTCCTCTAGTAACACATGGTTTGATATATTTACAGTTAATTCAGTATTTAATTTATTATCCTCTGAATGGTCCTCTGTAATATTCTCAAAAGATAATTTCCTCTTGCACCCACTCGGACTATAACAAATATGTATCTAAATTAAATATACAATAAAATAGCTACACAAATTACTTACACAACAAATGGTATCTCTTTTTTTGATAAATATCCGCTTTCATTGAAATTTCCTTTGGTAAAATGTTTATCGCAAATTCTATGTGATGGTAAAATTTTATTAATATAACATGCATCTAACCAAAGTCTTTTCAATATTTCATTTTTAGGAAATCTGTTATAAACATGGTGGTGATTGGTAGGTTGATTAATAATTGTTATTACACGTTTAAAATTCTTAATTATAAAATAATTACTTGTGTAAAGAGACTTCTGAATCTGCCGTGTACCCAATTTTACAAATACAACATTGTATAAATGTTATACATTTTGACAAATAATAAATAGCATAATATAGAACTATAGAAGAAAGTTAGGTATTAGGTATAGTTCGTGAAAAGTAAAAACAAATAACTATCTTTTAAATTGTTACATTAAAACATGTACCATGTTTTGATAATACACTACACTAATAATTATTATCGTGCAGTCACAAGTCACACAAGAAGAGCACGCTCTATCGATAACCGCTCTACGTGTATAAATGGCCAGTCTATTAGTATAAGGTCTATAGTAGTCCCCCATTGAACATTATTTTCATAAAGGTCACATGAAAAATTGGTCAACAATCTTGGGCCACTATTACACAAAGGTTGAGAACCGCTAATCTATAACAGTTTTTAATAACAATTATATAAATGTTTTAATTTTTAATCAATAAAATTATTTATTTCATGTAAAATCACTGACTTTAATAAAGTTTGTACTGTAGTAATCCTACCATACTTTTATTATTATTACAGTAGACCATAGTTAATTTGTATTTTTTATTTTTGGCTAACCGTATATTGGGAGATAGCCTAAAACATATATATTTTTAAATATTAAAGAAGATAAAAACTAATTTTATCAAATAACCGTTGTACTATAGTAGTTTAGTCAATTTTTATATTATTATTCTTATATTAAGAGTCTCATAGAAATAGATCTATATTAAAATCTATTGTGTCAATTTTCAGGAACCCAAGACAGCGTTAAAAGAAAAGTTTTACTGTTGCTTTTTGTGTAAATCAGGCCCGATGACATTGATTGCCTATATCCCATATAGTGGTTTTATACCTGGACAATCTATACCAGTTACAGTTGAATTAGATAACAACAGCAATGTATATGTGAAATCCATAGAAATAAAGCTGGATAGAGTAATAATTTTGTTATATCTTATTTGTAATATGGAGATATTAATAATTTGTTGTATTTTATAGACTTTGGAATATAAAGCACTGTGGCCTTCTGGTAACATAACACATGAACATTCAAATATTGTATCCGTTTTTATAAATGGTGTAGAAAAATACAAATCGAAAACATGTTTGAAACAACTTCAAATTCCGAATGAAATAATGGTACCCAATTTAAAACATTGTGATATTATAACTGATAAATATTTTCTAAATGTAATTAATATGCTACATAATTATTGTCTTGGGAAATAATTTAATTAATATGTTTTTTGTTGTTGTAGGTTGAGGCTCATGTTAATATTCCACATTTAAATGAAGTAGCTTCTATTAAAATAAAATTGGGTAGTACGCCATTGACAATAGGTAGCAATGATAGTGAATTTGATTAATCTTTTCAACCATCAAATCAATGTAACTTTTCAAACAAAGCAATTCCAACAGATCCATTACCGTCTGTATGTGTTAATGAGCCAATTTCGGTTCCTGGATATACTCAACTAGTAGTTCAATGTTCAATGGCCCCAGACAATTCAGACCCAGACCTTATATGAATATACACATATAATGCTTTTACTAATGAATATATTATATAATAAATCATGTAATATAATTTTAAAAAAAAACATTGTAGTTTTAATAAAATATAATAATGAATAAAAAAAAATAGATAATTATAATAAATGTTAAAATCAGATTTATATCAATATAGAACAATATAAAAGCGACACGGGTTCATGTTTACCGATGATCAGAAGTCATAGAGCCTAGAAAACGAGCTCGTATTCCAACATGCTGTTAGACCCTTGTTTACCCATATTCAGAAAACTAGTTTACTGCCACTACTTAGTATACTACTTCTGTCTATTAATTAAATAACTTACCCATAAATTACTTATTATTAAAGTAGTAGTTTTTAATTTATTACCGAAAGATCCCCAAACATATCAATAATTTCATATAGTATATAAATTATTAAGTTGAATGATGTATTTTCAACAAACAGTCAAGTAAAGGACTCCAGATATACTTGACTTATTTTTGTATATTTTTTTAATTGACAAATTAACTTAACAAATTACTTCACGATAACCTTCAAATCAAAACCATCCACGACACAGCTACCAATTTCTACAAAAGGTTTCATGGGAAACTCCTTATGAACTACAACCACCTCATCTCTCAATTGGCCTCAAAAACTCTTCCAGACAACCCCACGAGACGTCTCAAACGCAACTAGTGCAGAGATCTTCTTAACCTATAAAATACATTTATATTACTCATAAAAATTTTAATTCATTGTAAAAGGTGACCATCGCGGTATAAAGGTGCGAGCCTTCCTACACGTTACTCAAAGCCATTTTTATATTATTATATTATACCATATTATATTATTTACTTATTGTATATAATGTACGGATTGTAAATTTTCTATAACCGCCATTTAATTTTTTAAAAATAAAGTCTTCCGATGTTTTTAAAGGGATTTGATATCGTGATTTTCTGTTTTTGTCTAACATACGCTCTTCATAAGATTTTAGACGTGTTCTTTGCCAAACATACCAATCGATCTAATGAAGCGGTAAAATTTTTAAAAACGTATTTGAATTTTTCATTAAGGCTAATTGAAATCGACTTTCCCACATTTTTGATTTTAACTTCTCCAAAAGTTGAACTACGACAATTTTTATAATATACTCATTTTTTATATGACAATTTTAGGAATTTGGGTTATAATATCAAAAATGTGGGAAAGTTAATTTCAAGTTATAAATAACTTATTAATATAGTTCTATGTGCAATATAACATTTTTTTTTTTTAGTTAAGTTTGATTTATTAATGTCTGTTGCATTTGAACCATACAAATTATTACTTCTAGGTAATTTTTTTTCTTATTTCCAAATGTTGTACTGAATACTATTATTGTGAATAAAGTAATTTATACATTATACTTAACCTATTTACTTTGTTATAAATTTTTATAACTTTTTAATATTTAACTATGAAATAATTTGAAAATTTTAAATTTGATTAATTATGCCGAAATTTGAACTTTAAATGATTATTTTAAACATTCAGTTAAATGTTCATGTACCTATCTACAGTTAGTTCATTTCCTTTAGAGTTACGGCAAAAACTAAAATTGATTTTGTCGAAAACCGATTTTGCGTAATAGCTTCCGTTTTTCTTTAATTGTATTCCTTAATGTTATTTTTAACGGTGGTTTTGAAAACTATTGGGAATTTAAAATTTTGACTTCCCAAATGCACCAACTAGATTCACTGTCCCATCGAACAAGATACTGTCGAAGAAAATTGAAGCAGTTTTACTGCCCAAACAGTGGTGACTCAAAATATAGGTACTTAAGTTTAATAAATTAAATAATGGCGTATACAGTGAATTTTTTCTCTGTAATTTATAAACAAACTGTAGAAATCTATTATGAATTGCCTCTGATTCTTTAACTAAACCTAATTGATGGTGAGACTAAGGAGTAGATATATTATAGACAAGTATCAACTATAATATTAACATTCAGTGAAATGTTCATCTATATTCGGTTATTTTTTTAAAATTACACTAACAAACAAAATTCGAACTTAATGTACTTATAAGAAAATGTGTGCATAATTATTTTTTATCATTTTCAACAGCAATAATGTAACAATATATCAGGAACCTTGTATTAAATTTTTATACTGTTTGACCCATAATGTCTACAATTTAATTGGCATTTATAAAAAAAACTGAAAAAACTGAAAATTAAAAACATCCACAAAAAGATCAAATGACGAGTCAAAATATTAAATGTTGTCAAGTACAGGAATTGATAAAATAAACATATTATGATTAAATTTCAATTGTCTACAGTTATTCATTTTTTTTAATTACAACAACTCTCATAAAAATTTAATTTGAAATTCTTATAGACATTTTCTATTTGTTTAATAGGTAGATAAATTTATAGGGATTCTTGTATTAAATTTTAAAATGTTAGACTTAAAATTAAAATTTTTTATGAATTTCTAACCCAAAATTGTTTGCACATTTTCGTTTTTTTACGCCATGTCAAAATTTAAACTTTAAATGATCATAAAAAAAAAATTATATAATATTTAATATTTTTCAAATGTCATTGTAACAATAATTAATAATATATTAAGAGCCTTGTATTAAATTTAGGTTTAGTAGTTTTGGAGTGCATTGCAATACGGTGTAAGCTTAATTTTTGTATGATATAATATAAGATACATTATGTGTCTTATACCTGGCTTGCAGAGTCACATAGAGCTGTCGAAGGGCTTAGCTACAGTAAGCACTGTTTAGATGACACAAAGTATAATTACCTATTCAAAATACGTAAATCAAAATAATAGAGTCATTGCGATGACTCTTGAATCACATGGTAAGTAATAACTTCACAATAGTGGAGCAATAGTTAATTTTATCATTGATTTACAGGTCTTAATTAAACAAAACATTTTTACCCAACAAATAAAATTTTATTGAAATTCATAGAAAAAAAAAAAAAAAATTGGAAACTGAAAATGTAAATAAACAGTTCAAAACAAATCAAAATATGTTGATAATGTTATAGTGTATAGAAAATGCAAATATAAACAACCAGACACCATTGAACATTTCATGTATTTAGAGTCATTTTTTTTTGTCGAAAACTTTTGGGAATTTTAATTGTTGACATCCCGAAAGCTCTAACCAGATTCACTTTCCCGTCGAACAAGATACTGGTAAAGAAAATTTAAGTAGTTTTTCTGCCCCTGGTGGCAGACCAAAATAAAAAATGTGGGTAAGTGGATGTCGCTCTACTGTATAATGGATGGTATTAAATTTAATTCAATGATATAATATCAATGTATAAGAAAAACGTTTCTTGGCGAAGACAGTCACTAGGCCCAATTTCAACTTTTGACTTGGGGGGGCTGAATATATTAAAGGCTAGCAGACCATTGCAGTATAGCATTTTTAAATTGTATGTCCTAGGTTTTTGTGGGGGCTATGGCTAAGTTTGGTTGGCTTGCCCCCCCCACCAATTTGCACCTGTGACAGTTAGTCAGCCTACAATATTACTAAGTATATTTGATGATATTATTGTGAATTAAGTAATTTATATTTAACCTATTTAAGTGGAACTTTGTTTTAATTTTTTAATAACTTAGCTATAAAAGTTGAACATTTTATAAATATTTAACTACTAAATAATTTAAACATTTTCAATTTGATAATTACTGCAATTTTTGAACTTTAAATGATTATAAAAATAATGTGCCTATGTATTTTTAATATTTTTCCTCTGCTATTATAGTTTTCTATAGCAAAAATAAAACATGTGTGGGGGTATAGGTGTAGTTAGGGGGGCAGTCTTGTAAGGTACTTGAATACTATTTTAAATACTGTTTTTAAAAAGTATTCAAATACATATTCTGATTACTTTTATTTGTATTTTGTATTCATTAAAAAAGTATTATTTTCTGATCCATAAAAATAGTTTTAAATTTGTGACAATACATATTATAAATCATGAACATTAATTTTATTCTTTGAACAAAATATAATATTGGCCCATGATATGATTATTTTTATAAACACCAATGTTTGTAGTAGATTGAAAAATATTTAAATATTTTTGTATGTTATCATCTTCAATAATTAGAATATAATTTATGTAACAAAATAGTTTATAAGAATATTCAAGGGTTTTAAAAAACAAATTTGATTATGTTTAGAAAATAATATTGGGTTTGTTAAATAAACTGTTATATTATAATATTATATGTATATTATTATATATGTAGATCATTTTAGTTATATTTATTATAAGACAAAATAACTATCTAAATCTTTAAAATCTGATTTATGATTATAATAATCAGTTTAGTACATTCATTTTTTTAAAATTATTTTAACAAATTATTTTAGACTTAAAATAAACAGCAAAATACAGCATAATACAAATTTATAATATGCAATAGTACCTATACCTAATTATATAATATTATGACAATATTCTATAAATGATGATGCACTTACTAGTTAACTTTTTATTAGATATAACAGTAAAAAATATTGTCTTCCAAGTTTTAACAGACACAGCATAGAGTAATTTAAATATTTTATGTACCTTTATGTTCAATTATTTTATACTAAGGCAGATACCTAATTACTTTGAATTGGCCCATTATCCTTTCTTCTTTCTTTTTATAACAAACTTGTAAATAGTAGGTAACTAACTTAAGATAACAGAATAGGTAACTAGTAAATTAAAAAATTAAACGTTTAATGTTTGTTATTTTTAAAAAAACTAAAAACACTTCTTATACTTGGATACACTTTGATTTTCAGGGGACACAAAGTTTGAGTGGAGACACGGTA